TTCTAGTCGATCTGTGTGCTGCTAAACTTTGTTCACAATTATTTCGATTTAAAATAAATACAGATGTGACGTCATCCTGTGATGTTTGGCCTACCATTTAAGTTGTTTAATGGTCTCGAGCTTTAATGGTAACGCCTTGCGCAGTATTAATATATTACTTAATGTCTCGCTCTCGCCCATTAAACCATACATAATTCTAGTCGATCTGTGTGCCGAGGAACCTTGTGTAAATAATGGAACTTGTGCACCAGAAGCTGGTGGGTGTCTTGTAAATGTGCGGATGGATTTACCGGTGACAAATGTGAGGGTAAGATCTATTTTAATACTATATTTTATGTCACCAATGTATTTGCATTAATTTTGTCAATCATGATGCCTTGCTGTAGAAGGCTAACAAATGGTTCAATTTCATTTCAATAAATCGCATGCGCGTTGTGAACCTTATAGCTGTAGTAGGAAACATATGGCCTAGGGTAAGCTTACGAGGTTGGTTAGGCGGCCCCTACTGCTTCTCATGTGTGTGATCCGCATCCACGCAACAATAGACTAAATGACAGACCCAACACCCCCACCCCAACAACCGTATTAATATCAAAGTTAAAATGGCCGGACCTCTTGATAACATATTTATTTTCTGTTTGTGTTATTTATTTGCATCTGGTTAACTCAATTTCGCACCATTCCGGGCAGTTGCTGCAATAGAAATGCCGACCACGGTTTATGGTCGGTCTGTACGTATATTATCGCCAAAAAAATGCCCAAGTCCGAAATCCGTGCCCAAATGGGTCAAATTGGCAAAAATAAAAAATGGCGGCCATTTTTGACTTGAAAATGCCCATTTTTATCCACTTATCATAATATGATCGAGTTTAGTATCAAAATATATCCTTTCGTGGGTAGCTGAATCCATTTCCATACACATTTTGGTGATTAGTTATAACAAGGAGTCAATATTGGGAAATAATTCCAGATGGCGGTCAGTTTTGGCTTGAAAATTCGAATTTTACAAAATGACCACAATTGTTGTCAAAATATACGTTTTGGAGACAGCTGATTCCATTTTCGACACATTTGTTCATTCTTGTACTTAACTGATTCCCTTGGGTCAAAATATGTGGAAATCCCATTGCAGATATTGGAATTAAGAGTAGTGGAGTCTGCCTCAGATCTAATACGATGGCATTTATCAAGCATCAACTAAATTTCATTTAGACGCTCTGGCCGACCACTGGTCACTACGGAAGCAGCGTAGCAGGCATGACGAAAGAGGTCACCCTCAGCCCGCTGTGGACGCAGCGTCGTGGGCGTCTCACCAACCTCGAAAATTGAGCCAAGATGGCCAAACCCATTGAAGCACGGGTCGAATTTATTTCACTAAATGATTCAAATGTTGAGACACAAATAGATACAGTATCGCCTGTTTGTCAGATATTCAGTGCACCATTTGATAATGGACTGTCGACGGGTATTGGAGGCCGACAATAATGAGCCGATTAAGATACCTGACCTAAGCTCAATAATGAGCGGAGATACCAATTTCAATGGGAGAGAATTTAGACAGAGTAGAACTTGGTGTAAAGTCATTACTAAGTTCGACAATGAGCCAAGGGCGTGCTAGGGCACTTTAGGAGGGGGGTGGCAGGATCTAGAATAGAAACTAGACTGAACGAGAAGACGATCAAGATAGACTTGAAGCCAGGCCACGGAAGTTACTGGTGACATATTAAATGGCATTCAGTTACCCCGAAAACGTATATTTTGATACCATACTCGATCATATTATGATAATTGGGTGGAAATCGGAATTTAAAAGACAAACCCGGCGGCCATTTTGGATTTTAGCCAATTTGACCTATTTGGGCACGGATTTTGGAATGGGACTTTTTATGGTGATGCTTGGGTAATTTATAATTTAATAAGATTAAATATACAATAAATACAAATGTACAAGGATATACTTAATACATTGAAGCTTCTTCATGTCATGTGACGAAAGGAATGGTAGGCGAATTTTGACAGATTGATAATTGTTTCGGGATTTTAGAGGACATAAGATTTACAAAGTTTTGGCGTTGGGATGTGATCTTAAAAATATATTGGTTTGTATATGAATTGCGAAAATCATTATAAACAGTCCAAATAATTACAAAGTGACATTCGTCTTCGATGGTATTAGTATTACATAACTTACAAATTCTTTGTTCGTATGGAATGTTTTTCCATTTACCCTGGAGAATCATAAGATTGTGGCTACCTATTATAAGTCTACATAAGGATTTTACATATTTTTGGTCGATTTTCAATTACTTGAGAGTATTCAAATCCCATGGACCGTAAGTTATAAACGGAATAACCATTTTATCGAATATGTTAATTGACATATATGATAGGCCATTACATTTTTGAATACAATACCCAAGTATTTATACTGGAAGACAGTATATATTTTCATTTTATATTGTTATAATTCCGTGATTCGTAATTAAAAGGACCCCCGTTACAGAAAACAACAATTTTTGTTGTCCCCCGACTTTCGAAGAAAGCAGGGGACTATTAAAATGGGTTCGTCCGTCTGTCTGTCCGTCCGTCTGTCTGTCCGTTACACTTTTTCGGACACAATAACTCTCCTTCTAATTAAGCTTGAATGTTCAAACTTGGTGTAGGTGTTTATGAGATCAATGCTTTGATGGAGTGCGAAGATGAGCATTTGCTGCTTAGGGTAAGCAGAGATAAGCAATTTCATTGGTTGATGCTTTGGAACACGATAACTTTAGTTCTAATTAAGTGAGAGTGATGAAACTTGGTGTATAGTTTCATTACACCAATACCTTGACTAAGTTCGATGATGAGAATTTTCTGCTTGGGCTAAGGAGCAATAGGCATTTTGATTGGTCAAGACTTTGGAACATAACAACTCTTCTACTTATTGAGGTAGAATGTTTAAACTTGATGTAGATGTTCTTCTAATTGAGGTGGAATGTTTAAACTTAATGTAGATGTTCGTCTTGACTGAGTTCAATGATTAACATATCGAGCTAAAGCTAAGCAGAGATAAGCAATTTCCTGCTTTGGGACAAGAAAACTTTGATTCTATCTGATAGAGAGTGATGAAACTTAGTGTATAGTTGATAATCAGTTTGATTGCTTGATACTTTGGAAAAAAATAGATGTGCGATTAATTAATATGTGTCATCTATTTATTTGGGGATTTCGGCGGGCGACATCAGCCTCACTGTTGGCTTGTTTTATGGACATTTTGATTTAAACATAAAAGTTTTCTATACTCGTAATTTGACATTGTAATCTATATACAGTGTTGGCTATATTTGCAATATCGTCTGCAAACATTAAACAAATCATATTCGGAAACAATGATGAAATATATATACCTTTACACTCGTCGTTAGTCAACTCATTAATAAACTCGTTGATGTACAATGAGAATATCAGAGGACTTAACATACATCCTTGCCTGGTACCTTTATGCCGTCGGGAGTTAAGACACACGTTTTGGACTTTGAATACATATCTCCTACGATATTGATAAATTTACCATGTATGCCATCTTTTGGCAAGACATTCCACAGATTGCAATGTGGCACAGAATCGAAGGCGACAGCGAAATCGATGAATAGGCAATATATTCTATCACGAGTTTTAGAAATATATTTACTAATACTGCCTTGTAGAGAAAATATGTCATCAATGGTAGAATAATTTTTACGAAAACCCAGCTTCATTTTCATGCATTATGATTACACCATTATGTGAGTCTACAATTTAGTATTTTGATAAATATTTTGCTTATTACTGGGAAAAGGGATATTCCACTATAATTACTTACAATGTCAGGGGGTTCTTTCTTTTGTATTGGGCTTATTAGGGCTTTACACCATAGTTTTAACATCACTCCAAAAGTCGATCGGAGAATTTAAGTTGTGCCTTAATTTTGATTTTAAGTTTTCTGTGTAATTTAATTAGCTAGTATCCCATATTGATCTAAATAACGATCTTGAGCGTTTATAGAGAGTCAGGTCGGAATCGAGTTTGCTCAGTCGATAATTGTCCAGTAGTCGATATTTTTGACGTTTGGCACTTTCACATTAAAGTTATCTATGGGGTATAGATCTTCAGTTGTAATATATTCCAGTGAGTCATCGATTATATAATCTGCCAAATCACCGGTTCTAGCGTTCATATCACCTGCCAAGAGAATATTTGAGCCCGGAAAGTCAAAGTAAATTTTAATAAATATCTCTTCGAGTGTCTCTATGGTTGAGTGGTCTCTGTTTTCTTAATACCTGGATCCTTCCGGCGAAACGTACATGAAGATACTTATACTTATTCTACGTAACATAACGTAATCTCACTTATACTCATTTTATGTAACGTAACAAATCTAATGACGTAATCCGACTGCTTATAATCATTTAACGTATTTAAATAATGTATAATTTCTACTCGGCTAAATGTGTAGGATAGGTTTCAAATGATCGCATTTACGTAGTCTGTCGGTCAGTCTGTGCATGTCAAATTAGACGCAGATATTCGAAAAGTCTACTTATTGTCCCCACGTATCGAATATGTCTGTTATTGGTCCTTTTTTTTAAAACAAATACTCACATGCACGTTCAATTTGGATAGGTTGAGCAAGGTAACCAAAAAACAATTTGGGTCGTTCTGCATCCAGGGGAACTATGGTCGCATCCTCAACAAGCGGGAAAGTATTTCCGGGGATTACCGTATGACCAAGCTGTATATTATTTTCTTGTATATGTTCTTGTATATTATCCCCCCCCCCCCCAACTTTCGAAGAACGCAGGGGACAATTAAAATGATTCCTCCCGTCCGCTGTTTGTTTGTTTTCCCGTCGGTCTGTCCGTCACAGGGTTTAGGACACAATAACTATTCTTCTAATTGTGCTAGAATGTTCAAACCTGGTGTATGTGTTTATTAGACGAATACTTTGATCGAGTTCAATTGTATGTATATTGTATATTATGTTATGTTCAGGTATATTATTTCCCCCCCACCTTTCGAAGAACGCAGGGGACAATTAAAATGGGTGCGCCCGTCCGCTGTTTGTTTTCCTGTCGGTCTGTCCGTCACAGGTTTTGGGCAACAATAACTCTTCTTCTAATTGTGCTAGAATGTTCAAACTTGGTGTATGTGTTTATTAGGTGAATAATTTGATCGAGTTTAATTGTGTGTCTGTATGGCCATCATATGTTTTGGGACACAATAAATCTCCTTCAAATTGTGCTAGAATGTTCAAACTCTGTGTAGGTGTTTATTGTATATTATGTTATTTTGATGAGGATTATTTTGATATAATTCTAGTGGATCTGTGTGCTGCTGAACCTTGTCAAAATGATGGAACTTGTGTACCAGGGGCTTGTGGAGTGTCATGTATGTGTGTGGATGGATTTATCGGTGATAATTGCGAGGGTGAGATAAATATTATAATACTTGTAACCATGTAAGCTATATATAGCAATGTTTAATATTAAAATGTATAACCGAAAGGTGGTATTGTTGTTCCTGTGGGTAACCATAAACTTAATAGGTGGAAGAATAAACACACAACATTTAAAGTGGAGTCCTAGGAAGAAAATAAGAAACAAATGCGGCCAGAGACAATACTAGACGATCATGGGCTGTTCTAAAATATGTAGTAAGAAACGATGCATGGGTTATACGCCGGATGTGGCCACTTCCCGCTCTCCACGTCTGACAGACGACCCATGGTGCTACAGACTGTGGAGGAATTTCTGTTCGAAACAATTAAAATAGAAACACTCTGTGTATCTGTTATCATGGAAGCAACGGTGGCTCAGTGAGTCAGGCGCAGGCCGGGAGGTCTGGGGTTCGCTCCCGGTGTTCGCCTAGAAAATCTCTCGCAATATGTCTCTGGTCTCTCCCCCCCCCACCCAGTGTCAGTGATGGAGGAAGGGGGGCCCAAGAAGCACGAAAAACTAGATTCCGTGTGCACACTGATGTTCACGTAAAAGAACCATTAACAGTTGCAATTTAATATAAGAGTAGGCCGTAGGGCGGTTGTCATGGCAACATTCCCACATAGCACACTGTATGGCGTATGTCCGTCTTCATTAGCCCAGTCGGGGCATAAACCATATTTCATTTCATTCCATCTGTTATCGCTCTCTATTTCAGCCAGTATTGTGTTTAACCAGTTCTATTACGTATGTCGTATTGGTGTTGTGAACTAACATTGTTTTGGGGGATTAGGCTAGACTTTTCAGACTTGGTATATGTGTTTATTATGTGATTAATTGTCTTTCGGTCTGGTCGTCACATGTTTTGGCACACAATAACTCTTCTTGTAATTGTGCTAGAATGTTTAAACCTGGTGTATGTGTTTATTAGGTGAATAATTTCACCGAGTTCAATTATCTGTCTGTCTGGCCGTCACATGTTTTGGGACCGAATAAATGTCCTTCAAATTGTGCTAGAATGTTCAAACTCGGTGTAGGTGTTTATTGTTTATTATGTTTTTTTGATGAGGATTATTTTGATATTATTCTAGTGGATCTTTGTGCTGCTGAACCTTGTCAAAATGGTGGAACTTGTGTACCAGAAGCTGGTGGAGTGTCATGTATGTGTGTGGATGGATTTATCGGTGACAATTGCGAGGGTGAGATAAATATTATAATACTTGTAACCATGTTAGCTATATGTAGCAATGTAGAACCGAAATGTGGTATTGTTGTTCCTGAGGGTAACCATAAACTGAATAGGTGGAAGAATAAATACACAGCATTTACAGTGGAGTCCTAAGGAGAAAATAAGAAACAAATGCGGCCAGAGACCATACTAGACGATCATGGGCTGTTCCAAAATATGTAGTAAGAAACGATGCATGGGTTATACACCGGATGTGGCCACTTCCCACTCGACTCCACGTCTTAAAGACGACCCATGGTGCTGCAGACTCTGCAACAAGCGGGAAAGTCCGGGGATTACCGTGTGATCAGACTGTATATTATTTTCTTGTATATGTTCTTGTATATTATTTTTGCCCTACCCCCACCCCACCTTTCGAAGAACGCAGGGAACAATTAAAATGGGTCCGCCCGTCTGCCTGTTTGTTGTCCTGTCTGTCTGTCTGTCCGTCACATGTTTTGGGACACAATAACTCTTCTTGTAATTGTGCTAGAATGTTCAAACTTGGCGTATGTGTTTATAAGGTGAATAATTTTGCCGAGTTCAATTATCTGTCTGTCTGGCCGTCACATGTTTTGGGACACAATAAATGTCCTTCAAATTGTGCTAGAATGTTCAAACTCGGGGCAGGTGTTTATTGTATATTATGTTATTTTTATGAAGATTATTTTGATATAATTCTAGTGGATCTGTGTGCTGCTGAACCTTGTCAAAATAATGGGACTTGTGTACCAGAAGCTGGTGGGGTGTCGTGTATGTGTGTGGATGGATTTATCGGTGACAATTGCGAGGGTGAGATAAATATTATAAAACTTGTAACCATGTAAGCTATATGTAGCAGTGTTTAATATTAAATTGTAGAACCGAAATGTGGTATTGCTGTTCCTGTGGGTAACCATAAACTGAACCATATCCCAGTCGGGGCATAAACCACATTTCATTCCATTCCATCTGTTATCGCTCTCTATTTTAGCCAGTATTGTGTTTAACCAGTTCTATTACATATGTCGTATTGGTGTGGGTGAACTTACATTGTTTTTTTGGAATTAGGCTAGACTTTTCAAACTTGGTGTATGTTTTTATTAGGTGAATAATTTGCTTGTCTGTCTGGCCGGCACTTGTTTTGGGACACAATAAATCTCCTTCAAATTGTGTTAGAATGTTCAAACTCGGTGTACGTGTTTATTGTATATTATGTTATTTTGATGAGGATTATTTTGATATAATTTTAGAGGATCTGTGTGCTGCTGAACCTTGTCTAAATAATGGAACTTGTGTACCAGAGGCTGGTGGATTTTCGTGTATGTGTTTGGAGGGATTTATGGGTGACAATTGCAATGGTGAGATAAATATTTCAAATACTGCGTTGAGTGTCATTCGAGTTATTTCATAAAATAACTGGGCAAGTACGAAAACTAAGTAGTAATCAACACAACCAAATATCTAATACATTTTTTTGTTTTCCGAAAACAGAAAACTATAATTAGAGGGTTCGTCCGCCCGTCTGTACGTGTATCCGTTTTTGAGACACAATACACGATAACTCTAATTAAGCTAAAATATTCACAGGTATTTATAAGGTTTGTCCTTTGATGGGGGGAGATGATTGAGGTCATAAGGCCAAGCAGAGATTAATGAGAAAAATGGATCCCTAGTACAACAGTGGAGGTTGTTTAGAATTTTGTCATTAGTATTTTTGTTTTAGGAAACATAAGTTATATTAATGATTGAAATAGATAACGGACACGCAGTCGATTTTCAGCTACTGATGATGAGTTTGTATTTAAGACTGTGGAGGAATGTCTGTTATCATGGGAGCAACGGTGGCACAGTGAGTAAATCGCTGGCCGGGATGTCTGGGGTTGGCTCCCTGTGTTCGCCTAGACTAGAAAATTTATCACAATTTTTCTGTGTGGTTCTCCCTTATCAGTGATTGAGGAAGGAGGACCCGACAAGGACGAACAACTAGATCACGTGTGCACACTGATGTTTACGTAAAAAAAACCATTAACAGTTGCAATTCAATATAAGAGTAGGCCGTAGGGCGGTTGTCAGGGCATCATTTCCCACATAGCACACTGTATGTCGAATTGGTGTGGTGAACTAGTATTGCTTTTTGGAATTAGGCTTTAATATTAATAAATTACCAATTTATTTCTGATCTGAATCAGATGCGATTTATCAAGAATGTTATCTGGGTGTGTTGCTAAACGTTTTGCCTAAACAGCTATAGCTAACGCAATAATTCCTCTGTAATTACCAGCATTTATAAAATATTTAATAGATAGTTATTAAATATGACAGTCCCGTTTTCCAGAAGAGAATACTACGTCCCTCGTGTTGTTTCAATATATTACTTTATGTCTCGCTCTCGAATATTAAACCACACATAACAACGTTATTTATTCAACTTGTCCCAATCATACGGTTTACCATGTAACCGAAATAAAAACAATAAAAAACGACATGAAAAACGTCTTACTTATAAAATCAAGATTGTGGTGTTTTCCTCCACATTGTATGCTAGATCAAATGATAACAAAAACTCGGATTAGCTTAAAATAACTGACCATTATAAATGACATCATTATCACGGTGCTGTCCACATTTCTGCCTACAGAAACATGTTTTCCCGCTCAAACAGAACTAATAACACGAAATGATGGTGTTAAATACATAGAAGATATAGAAATTGGTGACGAAGTACAAGTTATCTCCCCTGATGGTAGTGTTGGTTACAGTGAAGTATGGTGTCAGGGTCATTACGATCTCCACTCGATCAATAGATACCTGGAAATTACAACACAGACCCATGTATTACCCATCAGTCATCGGCATTATATCCCGGTTGCTTCTAATTCAACTTTCATCTATAAAATGGCGCAAGATGTCCAGGTATTGAGTTTTAGTTGAATCATTTTTATATTATATACATAAACATTGATTGTGTGTAAAACTTTCCCGAATTATTTATATTGTTCTATGAACATAGTAAAATTGATAACCACGACATATGTATGCTTAGTTTCGATTTCTTTCTATACCCATGTTCGCCCATTCGGCCGTCCACACGTGCTTGTGAAGGCGATAGAGTCTTCATTTGTAATACGATTTTAATGACACTTGCTATGCGGCTGTATATCCGTGAGATCGAGATTGAAGACAAAACAAGCAATAAAACATTGTATACTAAACAGCAAAAAAAAGTCAGTACGATTTCAAAATCAGAGAGGCACTTTAATCAAATCATGCTAGAAAACGACTTACTAAATGGATCAAAGCAATTTTTTGTGAACAGTATGTTGACACATTAGTGATTAATTCATCACAATTCCAAGGCATTGCGAGACCGTTTAGTCTGTACACAGTCTATACATCAGTATCTGGTTTGTCCACCGCGAGTGTCTATAACAGCAGCGCAGGCTCTGTACATGGAGTGGACCAGACGATTGATGAACGCCATTGGCATCTGGAACCACACTCTCAGAAACGCCTGGGGCAATCCAAAGATGTTCAATCGGGTTTAAGTCAGGACTAAGGGCTGACCAGTGCATAACGGTGACACCGTTCTGAGGTAGAAAGTCCCGAGTAACTCTGGCGGTGTGGGCACGGGCGTTGTCATGCTGGAAAACATTGTTTCGATGACGTGCGAAATGTGGTATGACGTGGGGTCTGAGAGCTGTGGTGCCGCCTTCTCTCCCTGACCAAGATTTTGGAACACCACAGGACCCACTCTCTGGTTCAGGCCGAGTTCACCTCAAGCCATTATGCTTGGACCTCCCCATGAATCTTGTCGACGCCATATTCTGGTCATGACATCTGCAGTTGATACGCAATACCGACTCTCATCTGTGAACAGAACAGTTCTCTATTGTACGTGTCGCCAGTTCTGGTGTTGTTGAGCAAACTGTAGACGTTCACTTAAGGTCTACGACAATGAATGTTCTCTCTGCACGTGCTGTCGCACAACATGGCGATCTTGACGCCTTGTGGTAACCCTTGATCTACCATTTCGGGGGCGATCATCCGTGGTGTTGGTGGCCCGTAAGCGTTGCTGAAGCCTGTACATGGTCCGAACATTGACCTGGAAGTGATTGGCAACGGCTTGGGCAGTGTGGCCAGCGCGGTGTCGAGTCTTAAAAACGACTGGTTCCTCCGAGCTGTCGTGAATCTTGACATGCTGCTGACGTTGTAGTGTGAATGATTCAACCAGGTATGGGGTGCATTTTATAGGGCTGGTCACAGAGAACACATTACCATCTCAGAAGTCTGATTGCGTTTTTGAGAACATTTCCTGGGTTCAATTCTGTGTTTGGGGAGGAGCATTATTGCCCAGGTAAAGTTGGAGATGTGGTCACAAATATATAATAAAAACATTTGGCAAGTTTTATGCAATTCGTCTATTCAGGCTAACATACCAACGTGGCGTATATTTGTGTCTATGATATCTGAGATGAGTTCGAATTCGCTGAATATTACCACACAAATCATCTTGCGAATATAATAGAATTTGCATTGATATTTCAATATTGGCATTTCAGGTAGGGGATTTCCTGTTAACGGTTGATGGCGATGGGCAGCTGATAGAAATGGTGAAAGAGTTGAAGGAAATTGAAAGAAAGGGTGCCTTCTCCCCGTTGACGAAATCCGGTCACATTGTTGTAAATGGAATCCAGGCCTCGTGTTATTCTGAGGTTCACCCGACTACAGCCCATGTAGGTTTAGCCCCATTCCGATTGGCCTATGATGTCACACCACGAGTTATCATGGATGTCATTCTAGCACCTAATTCAAATGGTGTACCGTATGTTTTTTACGCAATTCTCAAGCCCACTTATTGCACAGTGGTTTACATGAACCAAGGAAACCAATGGTCTTCCACATCTATTCCACCCCTTTGTACACCCCGTTTCATAAATACAGATTTAAAAATCAATTAACTTCACATGCCATCTGTGACGTTTATGTGCTTTGTTTAATTAAATTTTAATTACTGTTTAAAGATATGTGCTTTCCTCAAACGATTTAGTTCTTTGATTTTCAGTTTTAATTCTAATAATGAATTATTAGTTTTATTTGTTTATTTTGAACTAAAGGCGACATGCAGACAAATTCCATCTTAGTACTCCACAATCGTTGACATTATCACTAAAACTGATGGATTTCAGAGCATGATTGTACCTACCTCGCGTTGAATTGTTGAATTGTGTCAATTATAAGATATTTTTGTACGCCTATAACTGAGACCGAATAATACGGAAATGTTAAATTTATAAATACACTTAACGAAATTTGTATTTACCTCTAATTTTAGATGTGTGCTTTTGGTATATGCCCACATCCAGCCACAATTTCTTGCGAGAGCGCATGCACCATATTGCGCGACAGACATCTATGAAACTTCGTCATCGGATTAAAACCCTATCGAAATTAAATTTATTAATGTTTTGATTACGTCAAAAAAAAAACCTCATATATGTCCATCGTAAAATTTTGAAAACCAGACGGCCGTAGACGCGATTTCCAGGCATTTCGAATACTTTCTAGTAATTTGGAGTGGGTAGTAAATTATGTCAGTTGCAGCATAAAAACTGGTAAAAGTCATCTTTAAAATACAAGCTCTATTACTACGTAAACAAAGAACAAGTCGAACGATTTACTTTTGCCACATTTTTCATTTTATGAGACTTCACATTTTTTTTATCAGGGAAGGCATAAACAGAGAGTTTATACTGCTTTTCAGATCACTTCTATCACTGGGCTCGTCCGGTGCATGAAGTTGGATGCCAGTATACAGGAACACAGTCAAGAACTGAGAAAGGCCATGTGTACGTGCTAGTTCTATTCAGATGGCGTACGTGTTCATCATTGACTGGACTGCTTTCTTTCCGCTTCCATATTATTAAAAATATTCAAAACCCGACAGACGGTGCGACGCTTCCCGACAAACTGAGCATTCATTCCCGACAAGACCATAGCCTTCCCCGACAAGGTCATACCCCTACCCCCACCCCATTTTCAACAACTCCTCGGCTAATGACCGATCTCACAAGATCTCACAATTCTGAGCTCTTTTCAGATTTCTATTTTTTTTCATGAAAATATTGGGGGGGGGGGGGGGGCGGTGCCCTCCCCCCCCCCCCCCCGCCTCGTACGCCTATGGTGAGTGTGAATCTACTTCCACTTGATCAACCATTTTCTTAATTGCCAGTTTTTTGTTATGAATATCATTGGCCGCTTATAACATTGATCATGGAAGTCGACAACCCGACAACCCGACATCACGACAACCCGACACCACGACATTTTTACCCGACATCACGACATTTTTACCCGACATCACGACATTTTTAGTGTCGTAATGTCGGGTAAAAATGTCGTGATGTCGGGTAGAAATGTCGTGATGTCGGGTTGTCGTGTTGTCGGGTAGAAATGTCGTGATGTCGGGTTGTCGGGTTGTCGCGTTATGAAAGGCGACATCACGACATTACGACATGATACCAATCAGCCACCATAGCTAACAGAACCACCTGTGATGAAAACTATGTACTATTCGGTGATATATAAGGGGACAAATAACTGAAAGATTGCGGATGCAGATAATTTATTCAAGAAACTGATTGAAACCCCCAAATAAACGAAACAAATGAAATACTTTACACATCTATATAAAATAAAATAATATAAATTCGACAATTATGCAGGTAACAATTTTTCATCTAACACGACGGAAGTGGTGGACGTGGTGCGCGAGACAGGATCTGTTTCTTGAACACCTGGCACCACTTTGCATTAGAGGATCTCCCCCGCGTGTCAAGTCCATGTTACGTAGTTAATCGATTTTCCCGAAATTGCACATTGAGCTTTGTATTTGATTTCTAGATCTTACTAATTAAGAAATTTGTTTATTAACCAAGATAGTTTTATTTTTTCTAGACATTAATACAGCTTTTTTTTTAAAAATTAAAATGTCTATGTTTTTTTTTTATTAAGATAGCTTTTTTTTTTTAAATTAAGATAGTTTTATTTATTAATTGAGATAGATTTTTTAAAAATTAAGATAGTTTGATTTATTAATTGAGATAGATTTTTGCATTAATTAAGGTAGGTTTTTTTTAAATGAATGTATTTTTGTTTTTGAATGAATGTATTTTTTTTTAAATGAATGTAGTTTTTATTAATTAAGATTATTTCAACAAACAGAGTTAGATAATAAACCAAGTTCAAAAGAGTCGCGATTAATTCTACCAAATAAATTCAGTAATTTAAAGGTATTCTATGTCAAATAAAAAAAGATAAATCCAATACAAGTGAGTCTAATAATTTACATATTATATACGTGAGATAAATTCAACAAATCAATTTATATAATTTACACATCTAATTAAAATTAAACTAGTTAGAATAAAGAAGGGAAAATTGACAGCAGAGAAAACACCCACACTTCAAACAAAACAAATGTAGAATATTTTATTATTCTGTACTTCAGTTGTTTAAATGAAATCACATCAAGTCATCATCATACGGAAGCGTATAGGGGTCATGCAAAATTTTGTAGAAGGTCTCGAGATCCTGCGATCCTGTGATACTTTCTTGAAATCCCGTGATCACCTGGTAATTTTCGCGAGATCTCAATTTAATGTTCTCGAAATCCCCTGATAATTTTCCTGAGATACTGACATCCTGTGTAAATTTTCTCGAGAATTCGAGTTAATTTTCTCGAGATATTGACATCCTATGTAAATTTTCTCGAGATCCCGAGTTAATATGAAACCTTATATGGTAGTGTCTCCACATTTTGAAACAACCTTTGTCCCAATACTTCGCACCAAATTTGATAACAAAAAAATACTCTAACATTTGTTACAAAGGAAAACTGCTAACTATTGAAAGAATAAACGGAAATCGATAGGGTACCCATGATTTACTAAATTTGAAATATGATTAAAATCGATAGGTTTCATCGTCTTATGGCCCCAATACTTCACACCAAATATGAAATTCAAAACCCTACCACGTTAGCTATAATGTGGGAAGCTTTGAATTACAGACATGCCTGTTAAATTATTTCAATTTAATGTGTGGGCGACGTTTAATTGAAAATGTCATTTTTTGCATGGTTTTCGGACCATATTTTGGTTTAGAATAAAGCTAGACAGAGAGTTTATTGTACTGTAGTACAAATGCTTCGGAGCAGATTTTAAATAAAAAATCTTGAAAAACTCTAGGCTCTAACGCGTTCACGCTATAACAAAACATCAGGAAACGCGGCAAATCAATAAGGTTCATTGTTCCGCCGAAAATATAATAGGGTTCCTCTGCTTGTGACACTAATGATTCACATTTAGAAAAATTCTGGGCTCTAACGCGTTCACAAGGTTTACCGGAAAATAGGAATAACGCTATAAAAAAACATCAGGGAGCGCTGCAAATCAATAAGGTTTATTGTTCCGCCGAAAATAAATAGGGTTCCTCTGCTTGTGAGACTAATGATTCAAAAGAAATTTGAACGACAGCCACCCAGCATCTATGCCTCAACAGCAGATTATTCAAAAGCAAAACTTGGTTGTTTAATAAATTGAATAAGGATCTAGCATTCATCGAAAATTGTATCTCTATCGTGTTCACGTGCTTGTATATCTCTGGGACAGAAATCTTATATTGCTGAAAATTAACAGGGTCATCCTTGTCGCGGAACACTGAATATCGAAAATCCGTTAAAAACAAGGTTTTCAAAGAATGGAGAGTATAACTCCGGAACGGAAGATCGCTAACCATTGAATAAATAAAGTTCATGACCCCAAAGCTTCACACAAAATTTTAAAAGTGAAGCCTCTATGGCGGGGAGGGGTGTATATTAAGGAACAGAAGGTCACGGAATGCTGAATATCGATAGGGTTCGTCCTCTCATCGTCACATATTTTAAAGAAATACAAAGAGGGTAACTCTCGAACAGAAGTTTGAGGAGTACTGAAAATCGAAAGGTCCTAGTGCTTCACCCCACATTTGAAAAACAAAATCAATTAAAGACTGTAGCCTCTATTGCGTTAACAAGTTTTTCGGATAAGGGGAATAACTCCAGAACGATAAGGTGCGCTAGAAGCGACAGGGACCGGCCTCTCATGGCCCCAATGCTTTACACTAAATTTGAAACAAATCCGTTAAAACCTGTAGGCTCTGTGGCGCTATTAAGGTTTTCGGGAAAGTGAGTGTGTGTGTGTGTGGAGTGGGGGTGGGGGTGGGGGTGGCGGGGGACTCCGAAACGACAGTTTGTGGGGCGCTGAAAATACGTTAAAACTACGCGTACACATAAAAATACCCGAGATCTCGAGAACATTTACACAGGATGGCAAGATCCCGAGAACATTAACTCAAATTCTCGAGATCGTTAACACAGGGTGGTAGATTCTCGAGAAAATTATTAGAGGATTTCGAGAACATTAAATTGAGATCTCGAGAAAGTATCACAGGATCGCAGGATCTCGAGGTCTTCTACAAAACTTTGCATGACCCGTATACGCTTCCGTATCATCATATCCTTCACTGTTATATTTACATCTACACATCTAAAAATAGAAAACCAATATGTTATCTATTTATACACTGTAGACCTGATAGACCTGTTTATACATCATTAAAGACTGGCTTGTGAAGATGAGATGCACTTGTTGTTTATACATCATTAAAGACATGCTTGTGAAGATGAGATAGCCTTGTTTATCTTGGGCGTGTCTGTTAGGGGCAACCCACCGCACAAACTGTCTGCTAGTGGTCATTCATAATTCCTGTGGTGGTACTGAACAACTCCAAAGCTGTTTTAGGTGGTACAGATTTGAGCTAATCTAGCCTAGCTTTGGTCTGAAAATTAGATAACACTTGTCAGGGATACTCCATCACTACAAATGTCTGGCAATTAAATAGCTCTGTCAGGGGTACCCCACCACTAGAAATGTCTGTCAGAGTGTTTTTGTAATACCTGAAGATGTACGGTACATTGCTGTGCGATTTTCATGTGGTACACTTTTGAGCTAATCTAGCCTAGTTGGGGATCATGGCATTTTGGGCGTGGAATACCACACCCACCACCAGAAACCCGGCAGACTTACATTCTGATGATACCAGATATACATACATTGATACCATATAGGAGAAAATTGGTACACTTTTCAGCTAGGTTACCCCCCCCCCGGCTCCTGCTCTACTAGGGTTTCGTCTGTATCCCGGACCAGTACGGGATTCAATGATTCAGAGTCCCAATCTTTTGTCTGGGCCATTCCCTCCAATTTAATACGGGCAGGGCCTCTTAAATAGTTACACAATTCCCCTTGACTAACCGGGTCTAAATGGTTCAAAAGAATTATCATACATCTCCAATATATTAAACATACCGGAGAATTGAAGGGGCGCAAGGTATAACGAACCAGCTGAGGCCACCCCCTTAGCCTACAAATTTTGCGTAGGGCTGGGAACGTGTTTGTTCTCAGCCCTGAAGTCTCTGGTAACCATGTCCATCTATTTAACGAGATACCCATACCTATCGGGGTACTTCCCAAATTTTAGCATAACGTTTCCAATTAGTCTTCAGGTTGTTCCCTACAAACGGGTCAGCCAATCTGCAAAGTAGGGGTGGGGGTGAGCCCAAAACCAATGGAATTTGATCTTCCTGTCTACAACAGGACAGCCAATCAAAGGGCATTTCTGGTGACGATTTTGTGTCGTTTCTCTCTGGTTAGGAACTGGCGGATTTACAAGCCCTGTGGAAGAGGTCATGGGAATTAAAGCGGATGTCAACAGGGTTGGTGGTAGAGGGAAGCTGGTTGTAGCCCTCTGATCTCTATACCAAGGCGTCGATACCTCCGAGGACTTTTGCTGTGCCTTAATTGCGACTGAGGACTAAAATCCCCATCCCCCAATGGTAATACATATTGTCCCCGACTTATCCCGCGTCTCACCCCCGGGTTAACTAATCTCCCCTCAGTCTGACGTGATGCGGAATTCCACCTATATCCAACCGAATTATCCATAATCTACAATAAAAATAAACTATCACTGCCTTTACCGTATAAAAATCGGTAAAGACAGTAACTTTTTAATACAATCACGGTATCACTCTACGCTGTACAACGGGGCCAAATATACTATTCAAAAAAAGTAGGGGATATTTGATTTTTAAGTGCTTTTAAAGTCACCTAATGAAACTGACGAAGAAACAAATGACAAAATGAAATGAAGTTCACAGTCATCGATTTATTCCAAATGATCGTTAGACTAAGTAAGGCACAGACTGACCATTATAAGGGTAAAATGATACCCGGGGTCAAACAGCAAAGTTACCACAGCATCACAACCAAGTCAGTAACGGGTAAATCCTCATCTGTTTGCCAAACAAGCATTGATCCGACGTGGCATACTCCTAATGAGACGTCTAAGGTCATTTTGGTCCAGATTGTCCCATTCCTGTTGCAACGCAGCAGCAAGTTCTTGGACATTGGCAGGACGTTGTTGACGTTGACGTAACCTCTGTCCAAGCATGTCCCAGACATGCTCGATGGGGGAGAGGTCGGGACTCAGTGCTGGCCAAGGTAATGTGGTGATGTTCTGTTGTTGGAGGTAACCTGTAACGATCCTGGCCCTGTGACATCTTGCGTTGTCATCCTGGAAGATGAAACGGCGGCCATGACGTCGTGCGAACGGCACAACATGGACTGCCAAGATGTTGTCCCGGTAGTACTGGCCTGTAACACGCCCTGCAACAACATGTAAAGCCGTTCTTCCAGCAACAGTGATGCCTCCCCACACCATAACAGAACCACCCCCAAATCGATCATGTCTGATGACGTTAACGTCTTGGAAGCGCTCGTTTCGACGACGCCACACCCTCCTACGTCTGTCCAAAAAATCAACAGTGAACCTTGACTCATCTGAAAACATCACATTGCTCCAGCGTCGATTATCCCAGTGTTGACGATCCCTACACCAACGACGTCTTGCCTGAATGTGATGATCTCTCAAACAAGGGATCACGCGAGGACGTCGGGCGCGACGGTGACCCCTATGCAGTCGATTCCGAATCGTCTGGCCACTCACTCTCACACCAGTGTCTGTTTGAAGACGAGCGCTGATCTGATTTGCTGTGATGACACGATTTCTCAAGGCCAAGGTACGGATAAATCGATCCTGGGCTTGAGTTGTCGCCCTTGGTCGACCTGAGCGTGGTCTGTCCTGTACAGATTGTGTATCACGGTATCTGGACCATAGCCTGCTTATGACAGACTGAGAAACATTCATCGTCCGCGCCACAACCGCCTGTGTTGTGCCGATCTGTAGCATGCCAAGGGCACGTAACCTTTCATTTTGGGTAAGCCGACGCATATCAATATTTGTTTTCTGGTCACTAAAACAATTAAACTGATGTTTCCACCCTGGAATTCAATGCCACAATGACTGTAACATTCAAAGTCAGAGTCGTGCAAATCTTGGGTTGGACCCCCATGATGATCCCAAGCATCACCTGCATTCCATGCGGTAGCTATTGGTGCGTTTGGGCGTCACATGTAACTGGAAATGTTTCTTCTGTTAGGTTCTATAGTGACTTTTTTCGTAGTCATTTACATATTTTAGTATTATGCCCCCAAAAT